AGAAATCATGGCTAGCTTCTCGGTGGAGGTGACTTCTAGCCTGGGTCCAAAAGAGTGGGAATTAGCCAGAAGGGGAGAGAAAGACCCTTCTAGGTCAAGAGATCAATTCAACTACTATTGGTTGGGGGCTTGTCATGAGCCAGGTTCTGCACCAACATTTTCCATGAGCTGTCTCCTTTCGTTTACACAGCCCCCTGATTTGGTAAGTCAGGAGAGCGAACCCTGACAGCTCTAAGTGCCTGGCATTTAGGAGCCCTGGCTAGAACCCTCTGAGGTGAGTACTGTCCTGTTACAGTTGGGGCAACAGACACTGAGATCCTGTTACGTGCCCAAGGTTACCTGGTCAGCAAGTGCTGCCGCTGGGAATTGAGCTCAGGCAACCTGGCCCAGACCCTTTAACTACCAAGCCCTGTGGTCTTTCTCTTTATTCTTGTCGCCACTTGAAAAATGAGACACCAGGAGCTCTTGTAACTGGCCACGGTCATGAGGCTCCTAAGTCCCTATGTGGCCAAGATGCCTCAACTCAGGGGCCTAACTCCTAAACCCCAAGATTTTCAGAACTTAGAAAATGCAAGTGGGATGCTAATTGTTTCCACCAGCATCAACATCGAATGTTACCGCACCTGTAGGAAAGTTCTTAAACCAAATGCCAAACAAAAGGCAGCTTTCAAAGCTAGCAGGCAGAGAATACATTTTACTTTACATCCAACTGTTATTGGACAGAGAAGGGACAGAGATGAGCTGAGTGAGGAAGGGTCTGGCTTTAATCACGGCCTGAGAGGCACAAACAAGTTTGCGCAATGTCTGGGTGAGAATATCTGGAGAAATCTGCCCGAGTCGGGGGTCAGACTCTGTCTGGCCTTGGGCAGTGAGTGACTCTCCACAGTGGCTGGGACCTGGAATCCCCCAGGAGCTTGTTAGAAATACAGATGCCTGAGCCTCAGCCCCAGAGCTTCGAATTCAGGAGGCGGAGCCCGGGCACCAGTAGCTTCAACAAGCTCCCCGGGGATTTGGGTCCACAGGTGGCCAGGGAACAGCCACTAAGTGGAGCATAGGAGCCCGTGCAGGTGGGGAGCTGGGCCCAGAAAACCAAATGAAACAGTGTAAAGGAGGGGAAAAAAGCAGGCTTCTGTTTGTTTTGTGGCAGAGAAGCCAGAACGATGAGGAAGAGCCGCTGAGTCAGCCAGAGACGGAACATACTGCAAATCTTGCCACCTGTTCATTAATCTCGACGTTAATAAAAGCAGTTGTTTACTGAGCCCAATTATTCTATCCTAGACCATTTATGTGGATTATTACAGAGTCCTCCAATAACACAATGATTACTAGGTAATAGGCACCTAATTCTATTACCTAATAGTATTAGGTGCCACTCGAACCCCTTTTTACAGATGAGAACTATTAAGGAGAGAGCAGAGGGCGACTTGCCTGCAGTCTCGGGCTGGTGGGTGGCAGACAGGGATGCAAGCCCAGCCGTCTGTCTCTGGAACGTGTAGCTCCCCGCAGCACCGTGCGGTGGGTGCCACCGTGAGCTGGGCGCACCGAGGTCTCCAGGCTCAGCCTGAGCGTACAGGGCGGCCAGCAAACCCCAGGCATGCCCCCCAGTGAGTGGTCCCAGGGCAGTGGAAATGCCAAGGGGAGGGTGAGCATCTCTGAGCAAAGAACTAGGACAGAAGAAGCAGCAGGTATGTGGGTGTGGGGTCAGCTTTACCGATGGATGGGAGATTGGGGCAGCCGCTCACTCCCTCAACAAAGACCGGTGCTGGGGATCTAGTGATGGACAGGAGGGGTGCAGGCCCTGGCCTCGTGGTGCTTACAGCTCAGGGATGGTTTAATGACCGGGACCTGACCTGGGCCAGGGGAACAGTGTGTGTGTGGTGTCAGGGAAGGGGTCTCTGAGGAGATGCCTTTAAGCTCAGCTCGGACGTATGCCTAAGAGTCAGTTCCAGGCAGATGGTACAAACACATACTCAGGTTCTGAGGCAAAGAAACGTGGCTCATTTGGAAAAGAGAGGACTTCATCTTGGCTGTTGCCATACAGAGTGAAGGGGAGTGTCCTGAGATGAAACAAGGTCCTCTGTTGGGAAAAGTATTTCAGGCAGAGGGAACAGCACAAGCAAAACCTCAGAACCTGGAAAGGTGCAATGGCCAAAAATAAAGTGTGGGCCTTGAAGCCTCTGACGTTTTATAGGTTTCACACCCAGTGTGCGGAGTTACTGGGAGTTTGATTTTGAGGATGGTGAAGAGGGAGAAGACCACTAGCGTAAAGGCCAAAATGCCCAAGTCCCAGGACTGTCTTGAACTCGTGGTGGCCCATTGGCTGTGTCTTCTCCCCATCTGCAGCTTCCCTTTGTCCAGTGGGAAAATAAGGAGGTTGTACCCAGGCCCACTGCTAAGGCGGTTTTTAGTTTTAACACTTTCTTGGGGACTTCCTCTGGGATGATAATTAAGATAAACTCAGAAGAAAGTGGGAGAACCTCAAGGTGCTTTTTCTAAGGCTTTGTGAGGGGCTCAGGTAATTTTATTTCAGTGTTTTAAAAACTCAGCAGACACATTATTTTGGATGCATTAAGGAGACAACCCCAAAACTTTGCTTACTGCTAAAAAAAATTCAAACATCACACCAATACAAAATCACGGAGGTGAAAGTCGGTGCCCCCCCTTCAGATGTTCTTTCCATCCCTCAGCTCTAGGTTAACTATCTGCTAAACACTGTTGGAGAAAAGTCTAGAAAAAGCCTATGGGCTCAGTCAGGCTTATTGATGTATTTCATTTGGCTGACAAAGTTTTAAAATTTGGGAAATTTCACGTTTTTCAGCTTCTCTGAAAAACCTAATTATCTAACTGACCGGATCCAAAGGGCAGCTGTCCCTTCGGATGAGTCATGTATACTTACTCTACTTAACCACAGTCTCCACCAGTCCCCATACTCTACTTAACCAAGTCCCCACGAGTCCCCATTACCTTACGCATAGCTTGCTTCTTTCATTAACATCACCTGCCTCATTCCTGTTCTAGAAGCTTGCCTTGAATATAATACTATGTAAGCATGCACATGTGTGTTTTTTTTACACTTCCCGAGAACCTTTCTGTGCCTCTACAAAGCTGTAGCTCCCCTTTTCAAGGTTAAGTCATATTTCATTGTCTGAATCTCTGATGTTTATTTATCTAATTTTCTCTTGATGTATACATACAAAGATTCCACTTTCTTTATAGCATATACTGTAAACGAGTACTCTTATACATCTGTTTATAAAATTTTACGGGATAAAAAGATAAGTGGACTTAGGGATAAAAAGATAAGTGGACTTACTACTAGGTAAATGTGTTTATGTACATTTTAAGATTTGAAAGATTTTAAATTTAAGATGTTAAATTTAAAAGATACCACAAAATTGCCCAGGTTATATGAATTTACATCCCCAGAAAATGAAAGCAGTATCCTGTCCCAGGCCTTCTTCTCACTTGCATTAATTTAATTACTAAGGTGATGGAGCATCCTTCTATGTTCCATGGTCTCTTGTATATCATCTGTTGCCCTTTGCTGACTTTTTCATTTGGTTCTTTTTCTCTACCTTTATTGATTTTTAGGAGTTCTTTAGCCTTGGTCATCTGTGCTGCAGTTTTGTTTTTTTTTTTCCCCAGTTGTTGGTCTTCAGTTTTATACATTGTTTTTACTTTGGGAAATTTGTAACTTTATTTGTAGCCACATACACGATGCTTTTTCTTTTGCCAGAGGGGGCCAGCCTGTCTTCTTTGGTAGGCACAGTATTGGTATATATATTATATATATTTTATTATTATATTTATAATGATATATATATTATACATATAATTATTTTTTTAAAGACTTCATTTTTAAATAATCTCTACACCCAATGTGGGGCTCGAACTCACAACCCCAAGATCAAGAGTCACATATTCTATCAACTGAGTCAGCCAGGAGCCCTATATATATATATATATATTTTTTTTTTTTTTTTTAAAGATTTTATTTATTTATTGGACAGAGAGAGAGACAGCTAGAGAGGGAAAACAAGCAGGGGGAGTGGGAGAGGGAGAAGCAGGCTTCCTGCTGAGCAGGGAGCCCGATGCGGGGCTCGATCCCAGGACCCTGGTATCATGACCTGAGCCGAAGGCAGGCGCTTAACGAGTGAGCTATCCAGGTGCCCCAAGCCCCATGTATTTTAATTTAAAAATCTGAATGCCTTTAGCTAAGGAATACATAGTCTGTTTCTCAGTCTGGATGTCTGGAGTGAGATAGTGTCTGCACTATCTATTTCATAAATGGGTGACTTCACATTTTTAAAGTTGTCTGTCTAGTCCCTTGAGACAGATCACAGGTGTAAGTATAGGTACATGTTAGTGTGAGTACGTGTCTGTGTGTGTATATTTACTCTAGAACTTTTATGGTTTCACTGTGCACATTTAAATTCTGGATCCATCTGCAATTTCTTTTTGGTGGGGTAAGTGAAAACAACCAAGAATTAGGATGAACTTTTCTATTTTCCTAGCTGGCAGCGGGGGGCAGGGTGGTGGGGAGGCATCAAAGCCCATTGGTAAATTAAAAAACAAAAACAAAAACAAAAACAAAATCAACCCCATGTTTTTGGTCCCTTTATAAAAATAATACAAATTCTGGGATCATACCCATACTCCCACCACCCAAAACAACTACTTTTTTTTTTCATGCAATGTATTTCCTGCAAGTATTTTTTTTCCCCTTAGTATATACAGGTTTTTGTTTTAGAAATCTGCTTTTTGTCTGTTTTAACATGTGAGAACATCTTTAACTGCTAACAGTTAATGTTTCTACCCAGCAGTTCTCGAACCTGGCTGGGCAGCTGGCTTCCCAGTGGAGCTTGTTAAAAATAATGAATCAGCAACCCTACAGGGTGGACCCTGGGAATCGATATTTTTAATAAGTTCCACGGAGGTGTTTGGGACATAACCAGGCCAACTCTAACAGTAGCCCGCCCCCCCCCCCCCGCCGGCTGTACCTGTGATCGTCTGGGTCTCGGAGGTGATGGTTCTGGTGGTGGTCTGAGCTTGGGTGGCAGGCACTGTTTCTTCAGATACAAACTGGACCGTGCTGGGGGCTGCCCCGGATGTGCTGGTCAGCTGGCAGCCACTTTGCTTGTGAGCCACAAAGGCATCCAGGTTATTAAACTGCTGCTTGCAGATGCCACAGATGTGGATGTCTGGAGTGAGCTCAACCAGCACCGTTGTGCCACCTGGAACTCCATGGGACAAAGGGAAAGCCATAGGTTAATTAATTAATTTCAAAGAGCTTGAAATCACAGCACAAACCCAGATTCATGGTAGAAAAAAGGACATAGTGGCAGAGACGGCTGGTGGCTGGACCGATGTCCATTCTACTCCCCTCTTCTCCCTGAGCAGCAATGTTTCCAGACCCCAGGGATTGCTGCCCGAAGGGGCACTACTGGTATTTTATGCAAGAAAGTTCTTTGAGGGGCGCCTGGGTGGCTTAGTCGTTAAGCATCTACCTTCAGCTCAGGTCATGATCCCAGGGTCCTGGGATCGAGCCCCACATCGGGCTCCTTGCTCAGCGGGGAGCCTGCTTTTCCCTCTGCCTGCCACTCCCCCTGCTTGTGCATGTGCTCTCTCTCTCTCTGACAAATAAATAAATAAAATCTTTAAAAAAAAAAAAAGAAACTTCTTTGATGTGCAGGGCTGCTTGCACTTTGAAGGACCAGTAGCCATGTCCTATCCCAACGAAAGGTAGTTTTACTCCCCAGTCATTATGAAAACCAATCCCTCCTCTTTTATACTCCCCCTCCCCCAACTCTGCCATGAGAACTGCTAAATAATCTTGGTTCCTTACATGCATGAGAACTTCTGGGAAGTTTGGCTTTCATGATAAAAAGGGATAAGACATGACTGGCACTGGTTCCCTCTTCTTTTGGCTTTGAACGCAGATGTGATGCCAGGAGCTTCTGCAACCATATTGTTATTATGAGGAAAATGCTAAGATCCCTACATCTGCTGATCTCTACTTCTTTGATTCCCTGAATCAACTAATTCATGACTTCTCATTAGGCTGGTATAGTTCAGTTTGTTACCTGTAGCTAAAATTCATTCCTAACTGATAGGGACATTGTCTTTCAATAGTAACGATGCCAAGAGTTAATACTGTGTTAACATTTGCAAAGAACTTACCACAATATCTGGCACTATTTTAGAAAGTGCTATGTAAATGTTGGTTAAATGAAGAAATACAATCAATTAATGTCTCTAATATGACTACCTTAATTTTTATTTTTAAAATTTTCTTTGTCTTATTATAAGGAAACTCATGTTTATAACAGAAAATTTGGAAGAGAAGAAGCAGGGGGAAAATCACTCACAATCTTTCCACCTATGTGTACCATGAACATTACAAAATATTTTCTTCCATTTATTTTCTTTATGCTTAAAAATTAAGATCATAATGTACTGTAAAATTAGTCTTTTCCCCACATAACATTGCATAAGCATTGTGGCTAGATCACTAAAATTTTTGTAAGTATAATTATGTAAAGGGTGCCTGCGTGACTCAGTAGGTTAAGCACCCGACTCTTGGTTTCAGCTCAGATCATGATGTCATGGGTGGTGGGATGGAGCCCTGCGGCAGGCTCCGTGCTCAGTGGGGAGTCTGCTTGAGATTCTCTCCCTCGGCCCCTCTCCCCACTCTCTCTCTCTCTTCTCTCAAATAAATCAATCTTTAAAAATATATATAATTATCTAATAATACACTATTCTATGTTATCTATGCATCATTATCTCAGTACTTATAAAGTCTTTATATTATTTCTAATTTTCCTCAAATCTAAATCATGAGAACTACCTTTGTGCATATATGGTTGGTATATATGAATCATAACTTTCTGAAAATTTATAAATATTTATATTATGTTCAATTTTCCCCAAGTCAAGCTAAGACAAAAAAATCTCTGTGTGGAAATACAATTTGGTTGACTTGCTAAGGAGAGCTAGCGTGGGCTGTTGTAATGCTTTATAAGCCGTTCTGCAGAGCGCCCTGTGCACTTAAGTACATCGAAATCAGTGGATGGAAGGAATGAAGCTTTTCCTATTCCTCTGGAACACTACCTCCCTGCAGCTGAGGTGCCCATGAGACTAACAGGAAAACAAGGAACCGGAAGATGAGGTGACTGGCATTGATGAGGATTCCTTAACGATCCAACAAGAATGATACCCCGCATGAAAGGGTTTTAATGACAGTGTCTCCCGTATGTGGCAAGCGCATACGCAATGACCTAGTCTTTCCTTAGAATCCCGACACTACAATTTAGGAACAGTGACTTGGGCTTGGTCTCTCGCATCTGTAAAATGGGTAGAAATTTCTGTTCCATAGGACGGTTAAGAGGATTAAGTAAGATGGTGCTTGTAAAAAGGGCCAGCACAAGGGGTCTCCATGCCCTGGCAGGACACCTGGTGGGGTTATTACTGAGAAACCCTATTTGAATGCGACAGTATCCCCCTCTGAAAATTTGGAATGATAAAATATCCCTAACCTCCTGCATTTGTAGTGCGAATTAATAGACCAAACAGAAAACACTGGGTACAGATATGAGCTCAACAGCAACAAGAAAGAATTCCTTTATCTTCACTATGTTCTCCAAACCTGTAACGGCATCAGAACAATTGGTGTGTGTGTGTGTGTGTGTGTGTGTGTGTGTGTGAAACATGGACATAGCTGAGCCCCACTTCGGAGATACTGAGTCCTAACGGAGGTAGGGTGCAGGAGGGGCTGGTGTTTTGAGAAATCTGCGCTTTTCACAAGTTATGCAAGGAATACCCAGCCAAGTTTGGGAGGCAATGTCTCCACAGCAGCTAACAAGCTAAGCGCTTACTACGTGCTAGGCGTCTGCAAACCCCTGTGCCACGGGGTCGTTTTCAAACTGTGTGTAACCGAACCGCTCAGCGTCTGGCCACAGATCCCCTCCCCCACGTCCCCCATCTAATGGGTGGGGCCCAAGGAGCTTTTTTCTCTTTTTAAATAAGCGCTCGCGCTCCCAGGTGGCTGGTTTGCGCTCAGTCTCTGGACCACACTTTGGGAAACAATGCAGCGGGTGAAATCAGGTACTTGAATAAGGCTGCTGTCCTCATCAGGAAAATTAAAATGAATCCCAAACTCAAAGAAAGCGACCACCGCCCCATTCCCCATTCAGATCTCCACCTTTAATGTGTAAAAGGCTTTCCAGTGCGCCGGCAAGCCCAGCCCGCCAGACCTCATGCAACCCTCGGATCCCCAGACTTCAAGGATTTTGAGCCACCGAGGCAGAAGTTTTCCCATCAGCGTAATCGCAGTTACCCCCAAATCCCCCCAAACTCCGCCTGGGGGGGGCGGGGAATGCCCCGGGGGGTGGCGATTGTCTGAACCGCACGCCCTCCCCCACCGTTCCCTTACAAGGGGTCTTGCGAGGCTGGAGAGCGCCCCCCGCCTTGCATTGGGTTGCGTGCCCCCATCCTAAGCCCACTCCGGCGCCCCCTTCACGGCGCGCCCGCCGCGGTACCCGAGACGCCGGCTCGGGGCCGTCACCCCGATTTCGGGGCCCCGGGCCTGCTCGCTGCGTCGCAGACGTGCTTGGGCCCGGGCCCCGGAGCGCGCACTGGGCCCCGGAGCGCGCACTGCGCCCGGAAAAGCACTTACTTTGCACCGAGCCCGGGAAGCTCTCGCCCTCGCTGCTCGCGTTCATGGCCACAGACTGGGAGGTCCCCCGCCGGCCGGGGTGCCAGGGTGGGGGGCGCTGATCTACATGGTGCAAGGACTTTTCCTTTTATTTTTCCACACCCCCCAGCCTTCCTTCTTTCAACTCCGCCAGGCGGGGAGGACGGATGTAAAGCAAGCTCCACTTCCGCTGCCTAGAGGGCGCTGGCCGGGCCCGGCCGCCCCAGCCTGGCTTTGCATCAGCGGCTCCCCGGGGAAGCAGCGGGCCAATCCCGATGCCCGGGCCACGCGGCCCGGGACCGCGGGATCAGCCGGGATCTGGACCGCGCACAAACGTCCCGGCGGGTTGGGCAACGGCTGGCGGCTCGGGATGCGCCCCCACCTCCGGCCGCTGCAGCCGGCGTCCCGCCCGCACCCCTGCGGTCGTGGCCGACGCGTTTGGCCCCCCCGGCTCGGGCGCCTTTGCACCTGCCGCCCTGGGCGTCTGGTCCCCAAGGCGTCGCTCCCGGGTCGCCGGGATGCTCTGCGGAGGGGACCGCGTCGAGCTGCGGTTGGGGGGTGGGTGTGCCGGGCGCCGCGGGCTTGGGAGAAACCCCAGCTGAGCATCAGTGGCGGGCAAATCAGCAGAGCGCTGGGCGGGTCCCCTGCCCAGCTTGTGAAATAAAGAGGACAGTGATCACGTGGATCCTAAGAGCAACAACTAGGATCAATCGCCAAAGGCGCCCTGCTCCAGGGTTCTGCCCACTTTATCGTGCACTGTCACCTGGAGGGCTCGCTAGAACACAGACTGCTGGGTCCGTCCCAGAGTTTCTGACTCAGTAGGTCTGGGGCGAGGCCCGAGAACGAGCATTTCCAAGTTTCCAGCAGTTGAAGTCCCAGTGATGACTGACACGGTCCTCTCTGATCTGTGTCCGCTTGGCCGACCCCATCTCCTACAACTCTCTCCTTTACTCAGACTTCAGCGCCAAGCGCTCTCCTGCCTCAAGTCTCCTACGCTGCTGTTCCTTCTGTATCCACCTGCCACGCTCCCTACTATCTTTGGGTCTTGATTCAAACTCCCATTCTTGGAGAGGCCAGTCTTGGCTAGCCCATTTTAATATTGACGCTCCCTCTTCCCCCACCCAACCGCTCCCTGTCTCTCTCTGGTCTGCCTTTTCTTTCTTCTTAGAACTTATTACATTTAACATTATGTATCTGGAGTATGTCTATCTATCAACAGGTGTTTTACCTGTCCCCCCTTACAAATTCAAAAGTTCCCAAGAAAGTGGGATTTAAAAAAAAAAAAAAATCTCTGCTTCACTGATCTATCTATCCCCAGCGAGGCCTAGTACGTGGCAATAGTAGGCTCTCACTAAATATGACTGTATAACTAATGGAATTTTCCCTGCTGCTTCCTTTAAGGGTTTGTTCATTATATATATATAATATATATATATAAATATATTATATATATTTTTATATATAAGTGTTGCAATGGACCAGACACTGTGCTTGTCCCTGGAGGTACAAGGGTGATCCGAATGATTTGGTGCCTGTTCTAATAGAACTTGGCTAGTGGCTAGTGATTCAGTCGACATCAAATAGTCAAATCAGCAGTGTGATTTCTTTCTTTTTCTTTTTTTTTTTTTTTTAAGATTTTATTTATTTGAAAGAGAGAGAGAGCGTGTGCACAAGCAGGAGGAGGGGCAGAGGAAGAGAGATAAGCAGACTCCCTGCTGAGCGGGGAGCCCGATGAGGGAATCCATCCCAGGACCCTGAGATCATGACCTGAGCCAAAGGCAGACGCTTAACAGCCTGAGCCATCCAAGTGTCCCGCAGTGTGATTTCTTAATAGTGATAAGGTCTCAGAAGAGGTAAAACAAGGTCGTGATAAGGACCACAGGAATGGTCAAGGAAGGCCTCTGAGTAGGTAATAATCGAGAGCAGGCAATATTTGAAGGTGGGGGGTAGGGGTGGCAATTCCAACCTGAGGGATTGGCAGGAATGAGCGGGATGTGAACTGGCCGTTGCCCACCAGTCCCACTGCCCATCTACAGCTCTCCTCTTGCTTTGCTCAGGCCGGCATGACCTGCCTTCTTGCTGTCACGCCAGGGGCTCTGCATCTGCTCCTCCCTCTGCCTGGATTGCTTTTCCCTGGTCTTCTGCAGGCCTGGCTTCTTTCTCACCCAAGGCCAAATGGAATGTCACTTTCCCCTGGGCAATTTTTCCTGTCCCATATCTAAAGCACCTACTCCTCTTGGCACTCTACCACATCACCTTCATTATACCTATCCCTAGCTAACATGATCCAGAGAGGCACTGCAGCTTAGGGCCATGTTTATTTTTGAATGCTTGATAAATGTTCACATATGTGCACACCTGGGTAAGCTCCACCTGGATCAAGGTGCAGAACGTTTCCAGCCTCATGACCCTTCCCAGTCAGTGCTACTCCAGCTCCCCAAGCCCAGAGAGGTAAGCCCCACTCTGACTTCCTTGTGCTGAGAGCAGTATTCTTCATATTAGCCTGAAGAGAAGAAACATCTAGAGGGCTTGGGAACAACCAAATTCTCAAGTCCGCGTCTAGACCTACTGCAGAATTTCCTAGGGCAAGACCTGGTAATTTACATATATTTCCCAAGTGCCTCAGGTAATTCTTATTGAGTATAAGCCTGGACCTTACCAATTGATTCTTGAGTCTGCTTATCCCACCACCATATAAATCCTCGAGCTACTTGGGTGACTTTGGGCAACTGCTTTATGTCTCAATTTTCTGTAAGTTGAGTTAAGGTCATTAAATTGTTTTTCAGAGGAAATCAGTCAATATGTATAATGTGCTTACAATAGTGCCTACCTCATATAACCAGGCAACAAATCCCTGCTATTCTTCTTATTTATTTATTTTTTATTTAACTTACTTGGTTATTATCTATTTTCCCACCCGACTGTGAGCTCCAGGAGAGCATAGATCTGGCTTGTTTTATTAACCCTGTATCCCCAGAGCCTAGGATAGGGTCTGGTACACAGGGGCCTCAATACAGTTTTTGTTGTTGAATGAATTTATGTATGTTTCCATCAGCTCCATTTTGAACATTTGCTACTATGCCCAGCCATACTTTCTCTTGTATGTGTAGATCATTGCACTGGTTTTTTTTTTTTTCTGGCTTCAAAATTTCCTCTTTTCTTGTTTTTTTTTTTTTTCTTCCTATATTTGCTTTTCTTATTGTACAAGTATTGCAAGTTCACTGTTAGAAATTTGGAAAAAATACAGAAAAATATAAGAAAGAAAATAAGACCCATTTATAATCCCTTACCCAGAAATAACATCTAAAAAAAAAAAAAATAAGCTCTACCCCCAATGTGCAACTTGAACTTACAACCCTAAGATCAAGAATTGCATACTCTACTGACTGAGCCAGGCACGCACCCCCAGAAATAATATTTTGATTGCTATATATACTGAAACTCTTTCTTTTCTCTGTGTCTGTGTATGTATATATATTCATAAACACACAAGTTGTGTTCACATATTTTATAAAAATATGATTTTAATTTACATGCTGTTTTTAATCTCCCTTTTTGTGTACATATTATGATCCTTATTTTTAAAGATTACACAAATAATACATGGCTACCTGAGATCTCACCATCCAGAGACAACCAGTATTCACATATGTACTATATATCTTTTTAGATTTTTCCATAGAAATAGAATAGAATGACTCAAATGAATTGCTGATATTTGTCTATTTTAACTTAAAAATGTTAATTTCATATGGTTCAAATCAATATGACTCACCATATAAATATTATACTTCTGGTAGAGATTGCTGTTCATGTACCCAACATTGGTTGCCTTAAATTCTCTTAGTAGCAGAACTTCTGATTTGCAGCTGAGTGCATGGCCTCCTGGAAGAAGGCTTTTTCCAGCCTCCTTTGTTGCTAGACATGGCTATATGATTACATTCTCGTGATGTAAATGAAATGTTGTGATGTAACTTCCGGGAAATCTCCTAAACATAACAGGGGACATAGCCATTTGCCACTTCTTTTTCACTCCCTGCCTCCCTTGCTTAGAAAGAAGATGTGATGGGTGGAGCTCCAGCTGCCATTTTGGACTATGAGAATGAAGTTATACTCTAGGTATGGTCAGGTGGTGAGTTGGAAGTAGCCCAGGTCCCATTTCCTTACACCACACACAAAAATAGACTCCAAATGATGGAAAGAACTAAATGTGAGACAGGAGTCCATCAAAACCCTAAAGGAGAACACAGGCAGCAACCTCTTCGACCTCAGCTGCAGCCACTTCTTCCTAGAAACATCGCCAAAGGCAAGGGAAGCAAGGGCAAAAATGAACTATTGGGACTTCATCAAGATAAAAAGCTTTTGCACAGCAAAAGAAACAGTTGACAAAACCGAAAGACAACCGACAGAATGGGAGAAGATATTTGCAAATGACATATCAGATAAAGGGCTAGTATCCAAAATCTATAAAGAACTGATCAAACTCAACACCCAAAGAACAAAGAATCCAATCAAGAAATGGGCAGAAGACATGAACAGACATTTTTCCAAAGAAGACATCCAAATGGCCAACAGACACATGAAAAAGTGTTCATCAGGGAAATCCAAATCAAAACCTCAATGAGATACCACCTCACACCAGTCAGAATGGCTAAAATCAACAAGTCAGGAAACGACAGATGTTGGCAGGGATGCAGAGAAAGGGGAACCCTCCTACACTGTTGGTGGGAATGCAAGCTGGTGCAGCCACTCTGAACAGTATGGAGGTTCCTCAAAAAGTTGAAAATAGAGCTACCATGTGATCCAGCAATTGCACTACTAGGTATTTACCCCAAAGATACAAATGTAGGGATCCGAAAGGGTACGTGCACCCCGATGTTTATAGCAGCAATGTCCACAATAGCCAAACTGTGGAAAGAGCCAAGATGTCCATCGACATCTTGGATAAAGAAGATGTGGTATATATATACAATGGGATATTATGCAGCCATCAAAAGAAATGAGATCTTGCCATTTGCAACGATGTGGATGGAACTGGAGGGTGTTATGCTGAGCGAAATAAGTCAAACAGAGAAAGACATGTATCATATGACCTCACTGATATGAGGAATTCTTAATCTCAGGAAACAAACTGAGGGTTGCTGGAGTGGGGGGTGGGGTGGGAGGGATGGGGTGGCTGGGTGATAGACACTGGGGAGGGTATGTGCTATGGTGAGCGCTGTGAATTGTGCAAGACTGTTGAATCACAGATCTGTATCTCTGAAACAAATAATGCAATATATGTTAAGGAAAAAAAAAAAAAAGAAGAAGGAAGTAGCCCAGGTCCCTAACTTCTTTGTGGACCTGTCAACTGGACTTCCTACTTCTGGGCTTCATTTACATGAGAAATGGACTTTTATTTTGTTTCAGCTACTGTTACTTGTATGTGTGTTCGTGCATGGGGGTGGGGTGTTTCTTTCACATGCAGTGGAGTCGAATCCTCATCAAACACAATACTATGCATACTGTTTCATAATTGGCTTTTGAAGAGTTTTCCCAGTTCGGTTGGTGATTAGAATCACCTGAGATGTTGTCCCAACTCCAT